TAAAAATGAAGAAATAAGATCCTCGTTGTATGCAGAGACATTATTATTTACATAGAAAACTCTGAGTAATTTACATAAAACTACTATAATTAATAAATAAACTTAGTAAGGTCACAGGATTTAAGGGCTTTATATATATATACACACATATATAAAATTCTATTTATAAAAACTTTAAATACTTAGGAATAATGTTAATAAAAATATTTAAGAATGCTATACAGAAAACTATAAATCTAGAACACCTAAATAAAATCCATGTTCATGAATTGGAAATGTCCATTTAAAAAATATACATTCTCCACAACTCAATCTATAGATACAATGTAGTCCTAATTATAATCCTAGCAGTTTTTCAGGGAAATTGACAAACTGATTCTGAAATATATATATAATCACGAGAGACTTATAATCTCTAAAACAATATTGACAAAGAACAAAGTAAAATGACTTCTACAACCTGATTTCAAGGCCCCATTAGTCAAACTAGTATGATATTGGCAAAAGATTATACAAATCCATTAATGAGGCAGAATAGAGAAACTAAAAATAGATTCATATGTACAAGGTCACTTAATGATTAACAAAGCCAACAAAACAAGTTGAGGAAAAACTAAACTCTCCAACAAATGATAATGGAGCATGTAGATACCCACATGGAAAAAAAAGTGAATCTCATATCACACACCAAAATTAATTCAAGATGAATATTAGACCTAAACATAACACAGCTAAAACTATAAAGCTATAAAGCTCGCAAGAGAAAAAATGAAGAGAAAACCCTGAGTAGGTGATGGTTTCTTAGGATCATAGAAAGCAATAACAAAGAAGAAGAGAAGAAAATAAAAAGGATGCTAAATTAAACATAAAAGGTAAAAATGTCTTCTCATGGAAAGAAACTATTAAGGAAAAAAAATAGAAAAACCATAATTGGGACAAAAATATTCACAAAACATATATCTCACCAAAGACATATCCAGGGATACAGGATATTATGACAGGGATAGAGAACCCTGGCTGGATTTCAGCCCCCACTCGCCCCTTGGCCATGGGCCTTTAAGCAGCACAGAAAAATGTGCAACTGCATACAGTTGTCCGTGTTGTTTTTGTCTTACCATGTGCCTCCAAGCAGGAGCCTCTGAGGCTCTGCAACTATAGACCAAACCCGAGCTCCTTCCAAACCAATCCTCGTTAGGGCAGGGCTATACTCACAGTCATGTCCTCTAGTCACTGGCAAGTGAACCCTGAAGCCAGACTATCAATAGATAGTCACAGGACGATGTGTGTGCCAAAGGGGAGTCTTTCTAGAAATCCCAGCGTTAGCGACATTCATATGAAGGAGCATCTGTCTAAGGGCCCTGGTCCACAAGCTAGACCGGAAGAATAAGAGCTTCTCCTCAGGATCGGTCTGTGTTTCAGCCAGATCAATCCAGAGCTACCCGCAACCCTTTGAACCGTGAAGTTTGAATGGACACTCACTCCCTTTGGAGGTGAGCTCTTTTTGAGGATCTGCCCCACGTAGCTCCTCTCTGCCCTCCCCGGCCCAGCAGCTGAGCTGACATAAACACAGCACACACCTCACCAGCTGGTTCTGCGCAGATGGGAATTCTCACTTACAGGTGTGGACGTGCCGCTCCATTTCTCAGGGCAAGAAACACATGTCTTGTGCCATCACCGAAAACACATTGGATTCAACAAATGGCTTTTTCAATGTCCCCATTTCTGCTTTTGTAGTTAACAGTGGATGCAAATAGGGAAGAGCTGTTAAGCAGGTGACAATAATTACTGAAATGGTGACACCACCACCTAGAGTCCTCAACACCTTTCCTGTTATAGAGACCTGGGCCCACTTGACCTGGTTTCCGTTGTTAAGGAGGACAAAGCCACCAAGGTTTCTGTTCTGCTACAAGCCCTTGTGACATGCAGGCCCCTTGACATTGCAGGGCAGCAGACAGACCCTCAGGCCATGTGAGTTGTGGTCGAGAAATAGCAAAGGTTGGGCCAGCTGGTGACATGATGGTTAAGGTGACTCACATAGCTGATTGCAGTTCAAGTCCTGGACATGGTGGCTTGAAAAACAAGCTGGGTGCATGTGTATATGTGCCCCAAATCCTGAAAGTAAGGAGAGATGGAGGAGAGAGGATTGTGACATGACCATCCCCCATGGAGGAGTGCTTTCTCTCTCTCTCTCTCTCTCTCTCTCTCTCTCTCTCTCTCAGGAGAGAGCACACACCCTCTAGCAAATTAAAAGGAAAAAAAAGAGCAAAGTTGCTTCATCCTCACCAGCCAATGTATCCATTCTTCCACCCTGGGTCTTCTATCCTAGGTCTTGTTTTATTTTGTTTTGTTTTGTTGGGGTTTTTTTGGGAGAGGTTTTTGCTATAGGGTGCGTGCACTCACCAGAAAGACAGAGAGAGACAGAGAGACAGAATGTGAGAAATCACCCCCCAGGGACCATGGCTACATTGCAATCCCTTCTCCATTCTCCTCTCGGGATCTTGGACATGCACGCACAGGCAACGGAGTGAGTTTAAGCCACTGGGTCTGGGACTCAAACCGCAGTCAACTACATGGGAGTTCAGCAACATAGCCATTACACTAACTGCTGGTCCCTCTATCCTAGGTCTTAAAGCCAGTACTACCTACAAGGGGAACTCTGAAAACCACACTTGGTGCAACCTCAGTGACAGCCTCCACACAGAGGCTATTGTCTCCCCTTTGCTCAGTAATGAAGAGGGTGCTCCTGGTAAAGGAGACAATGGCCACCCAAGGTTTGCGGTTCTCTAGGATTCATCAGCCAGTTGGCGACTGATCTGTGGTTTAAATGTGTCAAGAGAAGGGGAGCTGGTTACACATACCCAGGAAGCAGATTGGCACTCGCGCATATCCATCCAGACGTAGTACACCCAGACTCAGACTGCCTGGATGTATACGTGGGCACAAGTATGTGTGTGCATTCATGGGGTTTCTTTTTCCCCATAAATTCTGACACTCCCCTATTAATCACTTACTTGAGACAAACATCATAACCAGATACAAAAAACATAGGTATTGGGAAAGAAAATAACTATTTTTTCTAAAAATAATTGGGCTATTCCTTGGTTAATCAAGAGGAAATAGTAACCAGAATCCTGGTGGGGGGAGCTGGGTTCAGGCTGCTACCCCTTCTGCCTGCCCATCCTGGCTGAGCCTCCTCTGTCCTCTGCAGGTGGAGGAATTCCAGGTGGACGTGCAGGAGTACCTGGGCCCGCTGCTGTTTGTGAAACTACGCAAACGGCACCTTCTTCAGGATGATGCCTGGTTCTGCAACTGGATCTCTGTGCAGGGCCCTGGGGCCAGTGGGGATGAGGTCAGGTTCCCTTTTTACCGCTGGGTGGAGGGCAAGGACATACTGAGTCTACCGGAGGCCACTGGTAAGTGTGGTGGTGAGTGTGAGGAGGCCTCTGGGGCCACGGGAGGCCGGGGACATGAGTTTGTGACTAAGCGG